CATGCTGGGGACTGGACCAGAAATCCTCTGGACAACTAGTACACTCCATGGAGTCTGTGAAAGTTATTTATTTGTTATTCTGACACTGCACACAATGAAATGTGACCTGAGTGTGGGGCTGGTGCCATGCTCAATGCACCTCAGTAGCACCTTGGTGGCAGGTGGATTCAGACTTGTGATCTTACGGCCTCAAGTCTGCGTCCTAACCCTGATATTCCACTAAATGCATCAGTGGTATAGCTGTGTTTAGTTTTTCTCTTTATATTCTACTAGGTTCATTACGGCAGCGGCGTCTTGTGAGACAGTAATAGTGTTGTAGCTGTAACGCACCGCTGATTGTCCAATGGAATATGAGGGTTAACCACTAATCCTTAATGGCCACCAAGTAAAAGAAAGTATTGGAATTAAGTAACATATCTAACTGTCATCCCAAAAATCTTCACACTTACCAGTTGAGTTGCTGAACTTTCCCTCTGAACAAGGAACACAGTCAAAACAACACTCAGGTTCCCCTTTCTTGTGGGCCATACGAGTTCCTGGAGGGCAAGTCTCACTGCACACTGACCTGGGGGGCTGTTTAATGACAATAACATCAGTTTTATATTACATGTAATAAGTACAGACTAGAATAGAGTTGTGCAAAATAACTACCTGTTTGAATACAAAGTTCCAAAAGATTTTGTTTTCATCAAGTGCAAGTTCTTCACCATTTTTGGCTGACCTCTTCACCTCACCAATGTTGTGAACTTTAGTTCTTCCATCAGGAAGCCACACCCAGTTCATGATGTCATATATGGGTAAAGCATCACCGTTCTCATCAAATAACACTTGATCACCAAATGATGTGGTGAAGTTGACTTTTTCCAAGTAAAAATTGAGCTTTAAAAAGGCAGATTACTGAAAATATTAACATAAACTGCAATGCAGAAATGTAATCTAATTATTAGAATAAGGAGACTAACTAATTATTGTCAGTATGTAATCTAATTATTAGAATAAGGAGATAGTGTATTTCTAACTAACTAATTATTGTCAGAATTAAAAGTCAACAGTTAAATGAGTAAATTTGTTTGAACAGCGATATTGACATACCAGTTATTTATTTTTCCTACACATCAACGGACACATGTTCATGTGACACATGCAAAGCATTACTACTTCTTATCTCTGCTAAAAAGCCATAAGGTAAGAAAAAAGTTAAAATGAAGAGAAAACTGCCAACACACCTGCCATGGTTCTAGTCCTTGTAATTGAGCACAGGTGTCTCCACTGAAAGGTCCTCTCCCTGGCTCACACTGCAGCATGTCATCAAGAGCATGTGCCAGAGCATACACAGCTTTGTACACATTATAATCTGGTCTGAGGTCTGAAGTATCGAAAATGTCTTTTTCCAAAATGGTCTCAATAACTTCCTGTCCAGTGCACAATTGTCCTCCAGTTTCAAGCCAACCTGCTGGAGGTGGAGCAAATCGACACTTAAAGATGTGTTCCCAGAACTGATGTACCTGGAATACAATAAGAAAGTTATGTTATTTCATAACATTATATACACGTTCAAATAATGACATGGCTACTATTGGTAAATTCCTCACTATGTTATAATCAGAAGTGTTGTTTTGTTGTGGGACAGGACGTATTTTCAACAGAAAATCTCTCAGGCCTGAGATTTCTCCTCGACGGATAGCGATGCCCAGAGTTCCCCCAAGGTATGGCATGAAGTCTGAAGTCTGTAGCTCAACATTTGAAGTCCAGGCTTCACTGGCCATCCACTGAAGGCCTACCACGTTCTGTCTAACAACCTGTACAATGAATGAAAAAAAAAGTAAATTATATTGTTGCACTTACATCTATTGCGTTGTCTTTTTTTATTTGTTTGTTTATTTGTTTGCTTTGCATGTGCGCAAACCTGTCTATTTGACATGTCTCATATATGGTTTTTGTTTGTTTTACAGCTACGCTCAGTCTAACCCTTCCAGACAGATTCTAAAACAATACACTAACCGCTAACCCATAATCAAATATGATTCCTATAAAATAGGTTTTGTTGTAACTTAGAACTCACCTCTGCCATTAGGTTGAGCATGTGATTTTTAAGCGCAAAAACAATGACAACACGAGCAGTGGATTCCTTCATCACATCAACTATTCTCTTCAGTTCAGCTCTGTTGT